CTACCAGAAACTCAGTGTTCCTGTATACATATGCACTCCTTATCACAGAGGCAGACTTGCAGAAGACCCGCGGCCAGAAACTCTGTGTTCCTGTATACACATGCACTCCTTATCACAGAGGCAGACTTGCCGAAGATCCTCTACCAGAAACTCAGTGTTCCTGCATACACCTGTACTCCTTATCACAGAGGCAGACTTGCAGAAGACCCGCTGCCAGAAACTCTGTGTTCCTGTATACACATGCACTCCTTATCACAGAGGCAGACTTGCCGAATATCCTCTACCAGAAACTCTGTGTTCCTGTATACACATGCACTCCTTATCACAGGGGCAGACTTGCAGAAGACCCGCTTCCAGAAACTCTGTGTTCCTGTATACACCTGCACTCCTTATCACAGAGGCAGACTTGCCGAATATCCTCTACCAGAAACTCAGTGTCCCTGTATACACATGCACCCCTTATCACAGAGGCAGCAAACCCGAATATCCTCTACCAGAAACTCAGTGTTCCTGTATACACATGCACTCCTTATCACAGAGGCAGACTTGCAGAAGACCCGCTTCCAGAAACTCTGTGTTCCTGTATACACATGCACTCCTTATCACAGAGGCAGACTTGCAGAAAACCCGCTGCCAGAAACTCAGTGTTCCTGTATACACATGCATTCCTTATCACAGAGGTAAACTTGCCGAAGATCCTCTACCAGAAACTCTGTGTTCCTGTATACACATGCACTCCTTATCACAGAGGTAGATTTGCCGAAGATCCTCTACCAGAAACTCATTGTTCCTGTATACACATGCACTCCTTATCACCGAGGCAGGCTTGCCGAATACCCTCTACCAGAAACTCAGTGTCCCTATATATACATGCACTCCGTATCACAGAGGCAGACTTGCAGAAGATCCTCTACCAGAAACTCGGTGTTCCTGTATACACCTGCACTCCTTATCACAGAGGCAGACTTGCAGAAGACCCACTGCTAGAAACTCAGTGTTCCTGTATACACATGCACTCCTTATCACAGAGGCAGACTTGCAGAAGACCAGCTTCCAGAAACTCTGTGTTCCTGTATACACATGCACTCCTTATCACAGAGGCAGACTTGCCGAAGATCCTCTACCAGAAACTCAGTGTTCCTGCATACACCTGTACTCCTTATCACAGAGGCAGACTTGCAGAAGACCCGCTGCCAGAAACTCTGTGTTCCTGTATACACATGCACTCCTTATCACAGAGGCAGACTTGCCGAATATCCTCTACCAGAAACTCAGTGTCCCTGTATACACATGCACCCCTTATCACAGAGGCAGCAAACCCGAATATCCTCTACCAGAAACTCAGTGTTCCTGTATACACATGCACTCCTTATCACAGAGGCAGACTTGCAGAAGACCCGCTTCCAGAAACTCTGTGTTCCTGTATACACATGCACTCCTTATCACAGAGGCAGACTTGCAGAAAACCCGCTGCCAGAAACTCAGTGTTCCTGTATACACATGCATACCTTATCACAGAGGTAAACGTGCCGAAGATCCTCTACCAGAAACTCTGTGTTCCTGTATACACATGCACTCCTTATCACAGAGGTAGATTTGCCGAAGATCCTCTACCAGAAACTCATTGTTCCTGTATACACATGCACTCCTTATCACAGAGGCAGGCTTGCCGAATACCCTCTACCAGAAACTCAGTGTCCCTATATATACATGCACTCCTTATCACAGAGGCAGACTTGCAGAAGATCCTCTACCAGAAACTCGGTGTTCCTGTATACACATGCACTCCTTATCACAGAGGCAGACTTGCAGAAGACCCACTGCTAGAAACTCAGTGTTCCTGTATACACATGCACTCCTTATCACAGAGGCAGACTTGCAGAAGACCCGCTTCCAGAAACTCTGTGTTCCTGTATACACATGCACTCCTTATCACAGAGGCAGGCTTGCCGAATACCCTCTACCAGAAACTCAGTGTTCCTGTATACACATGCACTCCTTATCACAGAGGCAGACTTGCAGAAGACCCGCTTCCAGAAACTCTGTGTTCCTGTATACACATGCACTCCTTATCACAGAGGTAGACTTGCAGAAGACCCGCTGCTAGAAACTCAGTGTTCCTGTATACACACGCACTCCTTATCACAGAGGTAGACTTGCCGAAGATCCTCTACCAGAAACTCAGTGTTCCTGTATACACATGCACTCCTTATCACAGAGGCAGACTTGCAGAAGACCCGCTTCCAGAAACTCAGTGTTCCTGTATACACACGCACTCCTTATCACAGAGGTAGATTTGCCGAAGATCCTCTACCAGAAACTCATTGTTCCTGTATACACATGCACTCCTTATCACAGAGGCAGACTTGCCGAAGATCCTCTACCAGAAACTCTGTGTTCCTGTATACACATGCACTCCTTATCACAGAGGCAGACTTGCCGAAGATCCTCTGCCAGAAACTCTGTGTTCCTGTATACACATGCACTCCTTATCACAGAGGCAGACTTGCCGAAGATCCTCTACCAGAAACTCAGTGTTCCTGTATACATGCACTCCTTATCACAGAGGCAGACTTGCCGAAGATCCTCTACCAGAAACTCGGTGTTCCTGTATACACCTGCACTCCTTATCACAGAGGCAGACTTGCAGAAGACCCACTGCTAGAAACTCTGTGTTCCTGTATACACATGCACTCCTTATCACAGAGGCAGACTTGCAGAAGACCCGCTTCCAGAAACTCTGTGTTCCTGTATACACATGCACTCCTTATCACAGAGGCAGACTTGCAGAAGACCCGCTTCCAGAAACTCTGTGTTCCTGTATACACATGCACTCCTTATCACAGAGGTAGACTTGCAGAAGACCCGCTGCTAGAAACTCAGTGTTCCTGTATACACACGCACTCCTTATCACAGAGGTAGACTTGCCGAAGATCCTCTACCAGAAACTCAGTGTTCCTGTATACACATGCACTCCTTATCACAGAGGCAGACTTGAAGAAGACCCGCTTCCAGAAACTCAGTGTTCCTGTATACACATGCGCTCCTTATCACAGAGGCAGACTTGCAGAAGACCCGCTGCCAGAAACTTGTGATCATGGAGTTACAAAAAGGTCTTGTTGAAATGATCAATAATCGGAAACATCGTATTCAGGATAAATATTGATCATGATCGCATGGGGCTTAGTTTCGGGTGGCTTTAAGGTTAGAAAACGTGACGACATACGCACGTTTTGCACATGACGTGACAGCTGAGACACAGGGCTTTCAATCCATAGTAACAACAATACCTTGTGGTCGATTTACGTAACATGACAAGTACCTGCAGCGTGGATAATTGCCGTTAATCGTGCTAACTCCGGGTTCCAAGCGCCCGGCGTCGAACCTGCTAACGACAGGTCACTTCTGATGACACCCACAGTTAGCCCTGAAAACCAGCCTCGCGTCGATTTGCAACATGTGAATGGTTTGTTTATAGTCAACGTCCACGCGCCGTGTAAGTGACTGCATCCAACGCGTCTGGCCCCTGTAAGAGTCCCAGTTTATTATGTTACCATGTGTACGACACACGGAAGAATACTTACTATGATCGTCAATAGTAACAATATTGTTTTGGTCAGTTACGGTTTGTTTGTCTGTTGTTTAACGCCACAGCAATATTCCAGCTATATGACGGCGGTCTGTAAGCAATCGAGTCTGGACCAGACAATCCAGTGATCAACAGCATGAGCATCTATCTACGCAGTTGGGATACGATGACATGTGTCAACCAAGTCAGCGAGCCTGGCTACCCGATCCCGTTAGCCGCCTCTAAGGACAAGCATGGGTTACTGAGGACCAATTCTAACCCGGATCTTCACGGGGAATTTGTGAAAAGACGTTTCCAACATAGGAAAGCTGGGTTTTGTTCCTTAATACACAGCTTTACATCCAATAGCATGTATAAAGGATTATGATTTTTGCATTTCAATAAAAAAGGGGTGTTTTCCTTGTTCAATGACGTAGTCCTCACATAGTTCCAAACAAACTGGTCACTATATCCCAGGTTCCCTGTATATTAATTCCCTGACATAAAGAGTGTCTAATTCAGATAAAATGAACAATGAAAGCAATCCATATGTGGGATCTTGTGTGAGAAGTTGTTTGTAGAAAAGGTACGATTTTGAACAGGATGCTCTTCGTGCTTACAGAAACACCTATTTAGCATTAAATACACATTCTCCGTGGACAGTCATTTCTTGCTCTACCAGTAGGCACCCGGCAAACACAATTTGCTTCAAAAAGTATTTACACAGGGTCGATATAGTTCGTAGAGGTCGATAATCGTTAACTAAATATCAATCGATTATCGATAAAGATCGGAAATGTGACTTTGCGCAAAAATGTCATATGGTGAGTGATGGATTATTCACAAAACAGCGTCCAAGAATAGTTCTAAATTTGTATTTTGTGTGAGAAAAGTAAAACCTTTTTCTCCTTTAATGTAGATAATCATTAATATTGTATTCTTATTAGTCACCGCTTGAAGATATCACCATTTAATAAACATACAATGTTATTACACATTATGTAATAACATCGCGTGCTGCCGGAACTATTTGCACTCGGTCACATAACCGAAGTGACGTGATTAAGTATTAAACAACACAGAAAGAGCATATAACATAGCACACTGATAGAGTAAAAAATAATGAGCACTTTAACAGTTTAAGGTCATTCTAATACATCTTACCATTTTAGTTAGTTAGTGTAGTG